AGGGGGCATCAAAGGGGGCGAATGATAAGGGAAAAACTATAGTCTAACATGGCCAACCAAACCAGCAAGGGAATTCCAGCCCTTGTCTCAAAGCCCTTTCGGGTTCTTTTTTCCTACCCCGTTTCCCACATGCACCAAAAGTACCAAGTATGTGGAAGTAGAAGGATATAAATTACCCTCCCTGCTTGTGCTCAGGGCTCAGACTTTTGGGAACAGTCTCCTCTGAGCCCGCCAGTGTTCAATAAATCTCCCATCTTCCAAGGTCTCTGAGGGCTGCTTGGTTCTCCCGTCAGGACCCAGTCCAGGTTCCATAACAAAGCCAGAAGGAGACAGTATCAGCCAGAAAAGGATCAGGTCCAGAAAAGTGAGGGATTTGGCTAGGGGCCAACCAGCAATGGGAGAGGAAGAAGAAGTACAGGACAGAAACTGGTAAAAATGTGCATTTTCTTGGCTTTATAATATCTCTCCAAGGAGCTAAGTCAAATAAAAATGAAGAGCTATGTACATAAAACAATTTGTTACAGCATTATTCATAATGACTTTAACTGGGACAGGCTGAATGTTCACTCAGGGACGGGGACTCGATCCACTCACCCGAGCAGCAGGGAGCTCGGAGGACTGTTGAGTGCTAAGATGGCGGAAAGCGCTACCTGGTGAGGAAAGAAAAAGAGCAAAGTACCAACCCATTTGGCCACAAATTCAGTCATGGACAAAAATCAGCATGTAGACAGGAGCTCAAGTCAACATGTTTCTTTTTTGTTGTTGTTTCTCTCTTTTTTCTAATTTGTGTTTTCAAGAGGCAAGGCAGCGTCACCAAACACAATCATGTTTGTCTGTGTTTGGACTAAGGCTGCTATAGTGGCAGGAGGGGAGAGCAGAGCTCCAGCTCAACAACCAACAGCCTTCTACAGGCTACACTTGTCAACCTGAGGAGCCCTCCAGAGAGCAGGCCCCTTGCTTTAGGGGTACTTTGTAGACAAACACATCAGGCACCCCAGCTAGATTGGGAGCAACTGAAACACGGCTCTAAAAATGCCAGAAGATGAAAATGTGTGAGGGCGACAGCCTCGTCCATGAGGTGAGAGGGGCTGTCAGTGTTCCTAAAGGTCTAAGACCATGAGGACCTCCCCATGGAAACCCAGAAACAGTGAGGCAGCGGGGTTTCCGTGTCCCAGACCCTAAGCAGAGACACCCCCCATGTGGAAGAGGAATCAAAATTTCATTTATCAATGAGTGATGTGTCTAAGATGTAGGCGTCCTGTGGACAAATGAGGACAAACGGCTCATCCAGGGCTGACTGGGCTCTGCCCTGCCAGTCTTCTTCTGTTGGCATGGATCCAGGAAGGGCAGAGCACAAGTTACTGCCACAGTCAGCTAAAACATCACTGGCAAGCTTATGTCTGCTATCAACTCACAGAAAGGGTACTTAGAAGATGTAAGTAAACCTGAAAGAATTTGGGAATCATCCTGAACGGGATCAATTACCCACTGTGAAAGTACAGGGCTTTGCCTTTGGGTCATCCTGTTCTGATGGAAGCTTGCACCCTTTCTACAGGTGTCTCAAGCCTCAGTGTTCTCTTCTATTAAACGTGAGTGTTAATACCCACTTCCACGGATGGATTGCAAGGATTAAAAGAGACCATATCTGTAAAGCTCTTAGATGCCTGGCTCATAGCTCATCCTCAGGAAACGGGAGCTGTTACGACCATGACTCTGTGACAGCTTTCACACAGACCAAGGTCATTGCAAGTAGATGGTAGTGTTCTCTCTATTTAAGGTAAATCCCCTCTGTTTTCAGAGCAGGAGGACATGAGAAACGGGAAATTTAGCTACATGGTTGGGTGCAGGGTTGTGAAAAAGAGGAAGGTATAGGAAAAAGGTCCTATACCTTCTGTCCGCAGGAGACCTGGAGTTCTGTTAGCTATCCCTTGTTGTCGGGGGTCATTAAATCCGAAATACATCTTCCTAGATGAGAGGACTTAACCTTTGTAACATGTCGTTCCTTTGCAAAGTAATATGTAAGTTGACCATAATTCTAATCAACTTCTACTCTTAACTAAGCAAAATGATTTTAAAAATTAATGTGGAAGAATAACTGTGTAGAAATTGACAGAATTTTTTTGGAAAAGTTTAGCAAGAGAAGGTATTACACAGTGCCAGGTATTAAAAGCTGACTATTCAAACACTGATAGCTCTAACTAAAAACAACACAACACAAAACAAAAACCCTCCAAAATAAACTGTAAACATAAGTATAAACATGCTATAATCAAAACCATGTAATATCAGCATAGGAATAATCAAAAGGAAAATGAACAAAAAAGGAGTAAGAAAACAGCCATTCTGTGTAAGAATTTACTATGTGCCAAAGCTGGCATCCCCGTGGGATGATCAGGGTTTCTTTGGTACAGTGAATGACGCTGTTGCAATTGGTTATCCATGTGGGAGAAAACAAAGTTAGACTCCTAGCATCCTATTTACAAAAATAAATTCTGGATCAAATAAAGGTCTAAGTGTAAACAAGAACATGAAGTTCATTTTCATACTACTGAAGGCGGTGGCGCATGACAAGGGACCTCAGATGTGTTCTAGGAAGCAGCAGTGTGAGACAGATTGGGACTTCTCCTGTGCCCAGAATTTCCACTGCAACCTCTAGGGGGGTGAGTGTCCTCAGTATGAAAGAGAAGCATGAGAAACATCCCAGCAGCCTTTCCAAGAGCAAATCCTTAGGTTATCAGGGACCCTCCTCCCACCCAAGCAAGGGAAGCCTGGAGGTTCATCAGGGAGATCTCTTTGAAGAGGATGCTTAGGAAGGGACCCATGAGTATTTGCTCTCCTGCTCCTGGGGTAAGGAAAGAGGTATTTCCCCCATCTCGGGTCAAGCTGAGGAGACACCAGAAGAATCCAGCATGGAGACCAGGGTTCCCTACGGTTGGAAGCTGGCATCTCTCTTTCTGGGGCTGAGGCTCGCTGAGTGACAGAAACCTATATGGTTTTGAAGTGCTAATTCTGCAGTCTGAGGACAGAAGGCCTTTTGGAGGCCTCTGGGTTTCCGGGGACACCCCTGCCTGCAGCCAAGAGAAGGGGGCTGGAGTGGGCTGCAATGGCCATGTGGGAGTGGGGGCTGACCCCTGCCATGTTCATGTCTCCAAGGGGCTCTGCTTACTGGGCCACAGGGAGCCCGGAGCAGATTGGCAGAGAGCAGGAGTGAGTGCCAGAAACGGGTACTGGGTGGGAAAGGACAGGGGCACACATACTACCTGTATCGGGTGGAAGGACCTGTTCGTTCACCCCCCCTAAAAAAAGCTAAGGTGGGGTTATGTGAGAGCCCAGAGGGACATGCACATGGCCTCACCAGGCAAGCAGGACTTGGCTTTTCTCCTTTTGATCCTCCCTGGACCTTGACCTCTGAGGAGCCACATCATCACCTCCCAGGGTTGGGAGGAGTCAGATGAAGGAGGTAGGGTGAGGAGACAGACCCCAAGCCCTCACTCCCCACCGCTGGTCCCCAGGCTTCAGGGGGTTGGGCCCAAATGGGGAGTAGTGAAGCTTATTAGTGGCTAAATTAACATTTTGATTTAGACTGCACTGAATTTTTTCTTACCTAACAAAGTAACGAAATTTACAAAAATTAAAAAGATTGATAACATTCAGTGCCGGTAAGGATGGGGGAAAACCGGCGTGCTCATAAATCGCTATGGCAGGAGACGTCATTTTGAGGAAAGTAGTTTGCCAGTATGGCTTCATGTTTCATGAAGGCATCGTCTTTGACCTAGAAATCCTGCTTTTAAGAATCTACCTAACAAAAACAACAGAGAGGAAGAATATACATCAGTACTGTTCACACACAAAATTGGAAACAGTCTGAGAATGTCCATCAGTGTGGGACACCTGGATAAATCACAGCACGTCCACGTGACGGAATGTGTGCCGCCGATACAGAGATCTATAGTATCAATCTGGAGAAACAGGCATGGAACGTTACCCCAAAACACTGCCAAGTGGTCTTCATAATATGATCTTTTCTTTTCCCCAAAGGAAAGGAAGAAAGAAAAAGTGTGGGGGGGGGGGCATGTACGCGCGCGTGCATATTTAGAAAGGACATGAAGCATGTGGAGGAGTATTCCCATTGGCTACCATGCTGGTGGTAAGATGGGAGGAGACAGGGGCTACACTGTTTGATTGACAGATGCTTCAAAAAGCCAGGCAGCCAGTTCCCGCAGTTTAAAAAAAGTTCCACTAAGGAGTATAAATGGAAAAAGTAAATGAAAAAGGATCCATTGTTTGGGTTTAAAGCGTTGCTACCTCCCGGGGTGGAGGCCATTCCTATAGTGGACCTAGAAGAGCCATTCGCCAATAAGTGTCCAGTAACTGACTCTGAGTCCGGGGCCTGCTTTCTCTGGGCCTCATCTGTAAAATGAAGATACTAAAGTAGATGATGTTCAGATTCTTCCAAAACTATGAGCTCTAATAATCAGTGATCTGTATGGGAAGAATGTCATCTGGGGACGTATTTCAAAGGCAGTGGAGCCTCCTCAGTGGTATGTGGTTGGGGCCCAGGTTGGAGAGACGCTAGTGGGAAGGGTATCTCCTGATTAGCTGAATTTATGATGGGGAGGTCACGATTTGGCTCTCAGCGCCAAAGGAAGGCACAGTGAGAGTCCTTATTTAGGATCTATGATTTCCCTTTTTCTTCTCCCTAATAAGTTTGCCATGAAAAGGAAGGGAGCTGAGATATGGGGAAGAGCCCCAGGGCCACTCCAAACAGGCCTACTCCACTGCCCTGGGAACTGCCTGCCATGGATGGGCAACTCAGAATAGTCTTCCGTTCAGAAGGGAGGGGCAGCCCCTGGCAGGCAGATGGCATGAGGGGAGGAGCCTGAGCTCCTGGTCAGGTAGGGCTGTCTCTGGCTTTCCCTTACCATGAAGGCATGACTTCTCCCAGCACCTCTCCCTGCCCTGCCTCCCTGTCACCCCAGGAAGGAGATGGAGATACTCACCCAGGACCAAGAGCCTGACGCGTGACTTAGAGGTTCCCGCCAGGTCTTCGATCAGGGAGACCGAGCACTCGTACGTGCCGTGGTCATCCATGGTAAGCTGGCTGATGGTGATGGAGGCATCCGAGTGTTCGGCTCTGCTCGAGATGTTGGCACGGTTCTTATAGAGGTCACCGTAGATGTAGTTTTTCATCGAAAATTCCCAGATGAGCACCCTTTCCTGGGAGGGAGGAGAAACCACTTGGTCTTACCCCATGTCTTGGCATGGTGCTTGCAGCCTGTGCTGAGTACCCCCGTCCACAGGTTGCCAGGCCCAGAGGGCTAACTCGTCGACCCCTCAGAACAAACAGCTTTAACACGTAGTGCCCATTTGTGGATTCCTCTTATGATGTATCTGTACCTTTAATGAAAATATTGAAAGACCAGGACAGGTAGGCAATTCATATCACAGAAGCACATGGGGATAAAGGGGCTTTTTCTCAGCTCCCCACACTTTGACCTTTGGTAACCTCTGGCTTCTCTCTTACCCAAGAGATTTCAAATTGTTTTTGATTTCAAACTCTTCTCACTTGTTCAGACAACCAGGTATTTCATGAGCATCTATTATGCACCATGATATTGCGTTGGCAGCCATCATTGGCTTCCAAGCCCACTTTATTTACTTGACTCTTGCCTTTGGGATCAATTTATTCACTCATTGTGCAATCATGTGCGATCTTAGCATGGCTAAGATCACTCCTTCCTAGCCAAACTACCTCAGTACAAATCCCAGTCCTGCCACTTCCTAGTTAGAGGACCTCGAGCAAAAGGTGACTCCATTTCCTTTTCTACCAAATGGAGATCAAAACAATAACACCTATTTTATATGATTTTTGTGAGGATTAAAGTATATATATTTCTGCCACGGCAGAAAGTAAGTGCAAGACATAATCGCTACTGAGCGTGATGTTCCAAGATGAGGAGCTCATGATTTCTGCCCTCAAAGAATAAATGTTATGACAGCCTTTGAGTAACTGTGGGACCTCAGAAGAGAGGCATTACATCTAAACTGGATAGTCTGGGAAGGCTTCCTGGAAGAGTTCCCAGGAGACAGTGCCTCAGATCCTGAAGGACAAACTGGCCAGGCAAAGGGCTAGGGGGTTGGGGCGGTGCACGCTGGAGGACGGACGGATGTGTTTGGCATTCTAGGCAAAGGGAGAACAGTGAAAAAAGACCTCGGAGTGGGAAGCTATGGGTCTACCCCAGTGTGTTCATTATGAACGGAAGAGAGTATATGAGGTGGAAGGTGAGCACGGGCAGGTAGCAATAAAGATGGTAGCTGCTGTTTATTGAGTGTGTGGTACGTGCTGGCTACTATTCCAGGCACTCTGTATGTATTATCTTGTTTAATACTTGCAACATCCCCTTGAAGGAGATATTATGATTTTACCCCCATGAAGGAAATATCGCGATTTTACCCATTTTACACATGAGGAAACCAAGGCAAGAGGTTAAGTATCTCTCCCAAGTGGTTAACCCAGTGCCAGGGGAGGGATTCGAACCAAGCATTCTGGCTTTAGAGCCTGGGCCCTGGCGATTCTGGATTGCCAGACTGCAGGCATCGTGTATATGGGACTGAATCAGTGGCATCATATCCTGAAAGCACTAGAGAGCCATGTCTTTTAGGAATTTAACTCTCAACACAGGGTGGGAGATGAATTAGGAGGAGAAGGAAAGGCAGTTCAGAAATGATCTCAGCAATTCAAACGGAAAATTGTGGGTCTTCAGATCAGGCTGTGGCAATGTAGACGGGAAGGATGAAGTGAATTTGGGGAGTGTGAACAGGGTAGACCAATGGGACTGGGAGTCAGGGAGTGGCAGACCTCAAGGGGGAGGGTCTTTGGCCTGAATATTCGGGTATATGGTGAAGTCATTTCCAAGAGAAGAAACACCTAGAAAGAGAATGTTTTAAGAAAAAACAATGTGTTCTGTTTTCTACATGATGTGCCTGAAGTGTCGATGGCACAGGCAGAGTTCGGTAGGAGCTGGCCAGGGCAGCTGAGTGCACCCAGGGATGAAGGTTGGGGAGTCAGGGACTTAGATGTTAACTGAGCTGTGGGCTAGAGGAAGCCACCCCAGGTAAATGAGTGCCGTATGCCAAGTCCCCAGGTTAATTCATTTTGAAAGGTTGGGGAGAGGTCAGATAGAGCAGAAGAAAACCCAAGATGAGACTGCCCAAAAAGCCAAGGGAGGAAGATTCCAAGATGGGAAAGTGGTCGATAGTGGGAAACGCTAACGGGAGATGAAACAAGATGAAGCCTGAATGAGTACGTTGAATTAGCAAATCAGAAGTTGCCGGTGAAGGCAGGGGATTGGTAGAGGCAGAAGCCAGAGCATGCATGGGTAGAGAAGGGGGTGTGGAGACCTGGTGTCAGGTCTGATGCTGCACAGGTCCTCTGGGCAAATCAGGACAAGGTGCCCTTGTGTCTGGACCAACACAGCCTGTGCCAGGAAACTCGAGTTGGTTAATGGAGTGCAGGTTCTCTTGTGTAGGGCAGGAACTGCAGCCGCCCTGGGAGGGGCAGGTAACTAGCTCTCCTGAAGGGGAGGAGCATTGGGGCGGGAGAGGAGGAAGTGTTTTGAGCTGTGGGCCAGTCCGTGAATCTGGATCTTTCCCAGCTCCGCTCTTTTCTGACGGGTTGGCTCTGCCTAGGACCCTTCGTGCTCCAACTATTCTCCTAATCACAGCTATCCCAAGGCTTCCTCCCTGGATCTCCCACCGCCACCCCCTTGCCTGGACCTGTCACAACAATCTCCTTGAGGACACAGATTTAATCCCTTTCCCTGCACCCTTGCTTACTCTCAAGGGGATTGCCTCAACTCCTTTTGGAAGTGAGGGATCCATCAGTCAACAGAAGAACTTTAGTGTTTATCTGAGCACTCAGAGAAGTGGCTGGTGAGACCGTCTCTGGTTGGCTGAATACATGTGATGGTGAAAGAGACCTTCTTCGGTTTCTTCGGGCTGAGGGCAGCAGCTTCCCTCTCTGGGTTTTACCCTGAGATTCTGGAAGTAGAAAGGACCTGTGCCCATGGCCCATCAGTCCTCAGGGCAACAGACAACAGGGAGGACCAGGTGGGATTTACTCTCTTTTCCCATGGGTCCTGCTACTCCAGGCCTTGGGTGTCCTGGGTCACCCCGTCTTTCCTGTCAGGGAAAAAGGTAAAGGCTTTCACTCTGGGTATTCCAGGGACCTAAAGCTTACCTCTGGCAGGCACATTTGCATTTAAAAAATTTTTTATTAAGTAGCTGCACACTCAACATGGACCCCAATGTGGTGCCTGCACTCAGGACCCTGTGACCAAGACTGGAGCCGAGACCAAGAGGTCGCGCTCACATTGAGAGGCCACCTCCCACCAGCCTGAACGGCCAAAATTGACAAGGCAGGAAATGACAGGTGTTGGAGATAGTGGAGAAGGGGAGCCCTTTTACACTGTTGGTGGGAATGCAAGTTGGTGCAGCCACTTTGGAAAACAGTGTGGCGAGTCCCCAAGAAGTTAAAAATAGAGCTACCCTATAACCCAGCAATTGTACTACTGGGTATTTACCCCAAAGATACAGATGTAGTGAAAAGAAGGGGCACCCCGATATTGATAGCAGCAATGTCCACAATAGCCAAACTGTGAAGGAGCCGAGATGCCTTTCAACAGATGATTGGATGAAGAAGATGTGGTTCATATCCACAATGGAACATTACGCAGCCATCAGAAAGGATGAACACCCACCATTAGCATTGACATAGATGGAACTGGAGGGACTATGCTGAGTGAAATCAGTCAAGCAGAGAAAGACAATTATCATATGGTTTCATTCAGATGTGAAACCTAAGGAATAGCACAGAGCACCACAGGGGAAGGGCGGGAAAACTGAATGGGAAGAAATCAGAGAGGGAGACAAACCATGAGAGCCTCTGTACTGTGGGAAACAAACTGAGGGTTACAGAAGGGAGGGGGCAGGGGGAATGGGGTCACAGGGTGATGGGTATTAAGCACTGGGTGTTATACACAAACAATGAATCATGGGACACTACATCAAAAACTAATGATGTACTGTATGGTGACTAACATCACATCATAAAATAAATGAATAGATAGGATAGATGAATAGATAGTCTGGTGCTTAACTGACTGAGCCACCCAGGAGGTACCCCCACATTTGCCTTTTAAAAGTAGACCTCACTGTGGAACTTACTGAACCACCATGAGAAAGATAACTGTTAGCCTAACGGGGGAGCAGGGGTAACATATACTTCCCCGATGACTGTGTGCAGGTGCAGGAACAAGATCTGGCATCTGTTTCAGGACCTGTTTTGTATGACTCCCACCAACCCTGAACCCATCCTTTCTTTTTTTCTGGATGTACGTTTTAAAAAAAGAAGAAGAAGAAAAAAAAACTAAGTTTGTAGAATTACAAAGTTCCTTCAACCATGGGACCTTAAGTAGGATGCCCTCAATGTGTGGTCCTGCCTATTTAAAAACCATTCAGCTAGAGCCCCAAGAGTGCCGGCATACGCCCCCTGCTTTCCAGGTGCCTCCTTCCCAAACCACCAGGAGGGGAAGGGACTGGAGCGGGAACCCTGGGGTGACTTAAGTTAGCCCACCAGGCCTACTCAATGGAAGAGCTGGGTTTTTATTCTTGAAAAGACTCATGGAAGGGCATGTTTCTTATAGGTTCACACACTAATTTTTTGAAAGATTTATTTATTTGAGACAGAGAGAGAGATGGCACACTGGTGAGGGGGAGGGACAGAGGGAGAGAGAATCTCAAGCAGACTGCCGCCCAACACCAACCCCGCCCCCCACCCTGAGTGTGGAGCCCGACTAGTGGCTTCCTTGATCTCATGACCCTGAGATCATGACCTGAGCCAAAACCAAGAGTTGGACCCTCAACAGACCAGGCACCCCTAGGTTCGCATACTAATTTGTACAGAGACGTCCTTGGTGCAGCTTATGTCAAGTAATCATGAAGATTGTTCTTGAGTATTTTGTGAAGGTTATGAAGTTGGAACAGGCAAGTCAGGGGTGTGAAAGCTCTAATTTATCTACCTCATTTAATTTTTAGTTTTGTAGCCAAAGTCTCTATTTTCCTATTTTACGACAGCTGAAGTGTTCTGACACCTCAACCTAAATTGCTGTGTGGTGGAGACAGGCGAGATATTCTTGTGATTTTTTTTTAACTTTCCCTTTTTGTATATGGAATATTAAGCAAATGATGAAACATTGTTCTAATGGTTTAACAAAGGAAGGAGAATGAAAGAACCTAATAATTTCTGGGTGGAGAAGTCAGTCTCCTTCTGTGTGGAAAAGTAGACCAATACTGTTATCAAAAGTTTGTGTTATTGTACCTGACTTTAGGATCCAAAATTTTTTTTGGACAAGTGGTGCCTTTCCTCCTGGAATTGTAAGTGGAGCACAATACTAGGAAGTGGATATTGTTACAGAGAACACACCAGAGCCTTTCTCACTGTTAAGCAAATAACACCTTGTGAATATATGATATTTGGTGAAACTCTGGTAGTTTTACCTGCTGATGCCAGCTGTCCGTTGGAGAATAAACTTTGAATGTGTTCTTCTTCCTCCCACCCCAAAAAATAAATAAGATAAATGTAAACCTTACTCAAACTTAAGCATAGATGTTCCATTTCTTATAATTAGAGAAATGCAAATGTGATTTTAAAAATGAGATACTTTTTTCACTTACCAAAATAGCAAAGATCAAACAGTTTGAGAGTACTGTGTGTTGGACAAGTGGGTGCCCTCATATTGTTGGTGAACGTGGAGATTGGCATGATATATCATGAGAGCAAGTTGATCTCATTTATCAAAATTTTAAATTCACATATCCTGTGACTCAGAAGTTCTATGTTTAATAACTTACCCTACACGCATCTACTTCAAATACACGCTTATGCTATCTATGTGTGCTATACATTCCCATAGACACTCACATCGAGATAATTATTGCAGCATTATTTTGTAGCAGCAAAATCCAGGGAACAAACCAAATGTCCATCATTGGTACATACAGTACATTCATAAAATGGAATGCTTCATGTAAGTGTTTGAAAAATGAGACAGGTTGCTTCTAGGCCTTTTGGCTGAGATCAAGGGTAAAAAAATGAGAGAGATGTAAATGTACTGACATATGGAAAGAGCTTCATGACCTGTATTACGAGAAGAAAAGCCAAGTGCAGAACAGTGTGTGTATGGTCTATGTAAACATGCCTATTCATGTATGTGTAGGTACATACATATTTATGTTTGTGTATACATACAGCATGCATTGAAGGCCACCCCAGAGCTCGTAAAAGTGGTTCCCTTTGGTGAGGGGAAGAGGAAACTGGGAGTTCAGGGAATGGGGTAGACATACTTTCACTCTGTGTAAGTGTTACTGCTTAATCGTTAGTCAGATGCATGTGTTACTTAGACACACACCTGCACACAAATGAGCACTCGGGCTCTGCTGGGGGGAGCTCGTAACGCTTCCCTATGGAGGCAATTTTGTAGTCTCTGTGAAATTATAAGAGCATTGACCCTTTCTGGGAGTGTATTCTAGCATTATACCTGTCCACACACAAAATGACATATGTAAATGGTTATTCTTGGTAATTGGAAGACTGGGAATACCAAGTGCCTATCATTATGGCGCTGGTTAAATATTAAGTGTCTTCTTACCACAGACTCCTACAAAGCTCTGAAAGAAGGAGGGAGCTCTCTATTAACTGGTACAGAAAGCTCTTCAGCAGCTATCTTAAGTGAAGAGGGCAAAACAGTGCCTAGAATATGCTACCTTTTGTGTAAAAAAGGGGGAAATAGGAACACACACACATACACACAAAACACATTAACATTTTCTTAAATTTGCATAAAGAATCAATGGAAGGATACACGGGAAAATAAATTGGTTCTCTTAGCCAAGAGTTATACTCAAAATACGTAATAATTGCAGCAGATCTAACAACCAATCAGAATAGAGACTGGTCCCAAACAACCAGTACCGGTGAAAATCAGCCTTGCCTGCATGTGGGGAGTGTATGTGGGGCAGGGGGCGGGGGGGTTGGTGGAAATGGTGAGGAGTAGAAGGATCAGAGTAAATAGGGGCAAAGATGGGAATGAAACTTCCCAATGTTTGCTTTTGATGATGTTTTCATTTTGGAACCATAGGACTGTATTACCCATTTCAAAATTAAAAAAAAAAAAAAATGTCTTCTATATTCCCCAAAAGGACCTAAACAGGAAATTTTTAAAAACCCCAAAACACTAGAAAATAAAATCTGGCCTCAAGGAGAGCTCTATGCTAATCAAAAGGAATGACTGTCTCAAATGATAAAATTAAGGTAACTCGAGACTGACCAGCAGAAGGATATTTTAGGAAGGTCACTTTTTCCAAATAAAGGTGGCATAATAGGCCCCTTGCTGAGTCCAACACTCACTGCTCTGCCCACCCAGTCCAGCTTGGGTGCTAATGTTTATGTTTGTTTTTGTTTTTTAAAGATTTTGTTTATTTGTTAGAGAGAGATACAGCAAGAGAGGTAACAAGAGCAGGGGGAGTGGGAGAGAGAGAGAAGAAGGCTCCCCGCTGAGTAGGGAGCCTAATGCCTGGGCTCAGTCCCAGGACCCCGAAACCATGACCTGAGCCAAAGCCAGATGCTTAACGACTGAGCCACCCAGGCGCCCCTGGGTGCTAATGTCTATTCTAACATTTACTGAAAGACTTGTAGTGTTTGTCCTCTAAGAGGTCATGGTCAGGTAATATTCATTTCCATGATACCCTCAACTTTTTAAGGATCCTTACCGAGTGACTCCTTAGAAGTTTGTCCCATTGGATAAATCCATTTCTGTTGGAGACAGAAGTGCGGTAGGTGCATGGAAGGGTAACGCTCTTTCCCTGGGCAGCCCGAAGAATTTCCTGGGGCGTTTCCACAGAGATGGCACTGACAGTCACCCAGACTGGAAAGAAAGTGGGAAGTGAGAAGAATTAAATGGCATAGCATAGCCACTCCTTGCCCATAGGACCTCTGAGGGAATGCCCAGTGACATTCTCCTCCAGCAGCCACAGCTAGACACACTGCAACTGTGATCTTGGCCATGACACACCCACTGTTCTCCAAGACCGAGGTGGAGACAGTTAAATGCATTGTGTGGTAGCTAAAGCCCAGCTTTATACCTCAGCTTCACCTCTTCCCAGCTGTGTGAACTTCTCTTGTCCATAGAATAGGAGCACAAATACTTCCCAGAGGTGCTGGGAGAACTTAATGAGATACTATGTGTAAATACTTTTTTTATTAGTCTCTGTCACATAGAAAGCTCTTGATAAATATTCCTCACCATCTTTTTTTGTTGTGGTGATGATTTAGTCATTCACTTAACAAGTTTTTATGGAGCATTTAAATGTGGTAAGGAGTTTTAGAAATAAGCTTAAAGCAAGGTAAAGAGAGAGAGGTTATTCCCTGGTGAGCTCATTCTACGCAAGTTTATCAGGAAAAGGTGAGAAAGACAGTATGGCCACACCAGTATCTCCCATCATGTCTATTCATCTTTCCACATGATGGTGACTCTCTTCCATCTGTGTCCCCTCTTGAACCTGAGTAGGACTGGGACAGCAGTGTGAGTGGCACCTTATGGCTTCTCATACTAACTTGTAAGAGGCCAGAAGCTTTGCTTGGTCCTCCGGAGATGCTCCCTCTGAGAACCCAGTAACTTTCTGTGAGAAAGTGAGGCAGCCACATGGAAAGAAAGACCACATGCGGGTATTTGGGACAGCGCTCCAGCTGAGGTCCCCTGGGAGAGCCCGCATCCACTCTCAGCATGTGGATGGGCATGCTCAGTTTTCTGGAAAAGCAGGGGTCCGCTATCCCTGCAGAGCCCTCCCAGAGTGAAGATTTGTGAGAAAATGTATATTGGCATTGTTTTAAGACACTAAGGTTTGGGGTGATCTGGTTTGTAGCAACAGATGATTGAAGCAGAAAGCCGTGTGGATACCTCTCAGGAGAACTTTGAAGGCAGGAGTAAGTGTGGTCCAAGAGAAGGAACAGCAAGGAAGCCATGTGGTAGGAGGGGAGGGAGGAGGAGAGACAAGGCAGAGAGGTAGAGAAATCTAAGGTCACGTTGGGCCTTGTAGCCCATATTTAGGACTTTATATTTTTCTTTGGAAGAGGTGGGGTGCCCTTGGAGGAATTTAAGCTGAGGGGATATACTTGACATAAATTTTTAAAGGCTCATCTGAAGTGAGGTGAAAGGAAGTGAGGAGACTGGGGAGCAGAGTGGGAGCAGGATGACCTGCCAAGAGGTTATTCCAGTTGTACAGGTGCGTGCTTATGGTGGCATGGCTACAGGTCAGGGTAGTGGAGGTGGACGAGTGATCCAAATCGGAATGTATGTACAAAGTAGAGCCGACGAGATTTGACTGCAGATTAGACCTGACATATTAGAAGAAAAGAGGAGTCAAGGATAGATACGGGATTTGACCGAAACAACTGGAAGGATGGAATTGTCATTTATGGAGATGATGAAGACTGGGGGGGGGGCAGGTTTCAGAGGGAAGATCACGAGCTTGTCTGTGGACATGTGAAGTTTGAGATGCTTATTAGACACCCAATAGAGGTGTTGAGGAGACAGTAGCTCCCTGGAGAGGTCGTTGAAGGCCAGAGGATGGGAGCAAGACAGAGAAGTGCACAAAGACAGGGAAGACCTCTGGGATGGAGCCATGGGGGCACTCCAGTGCTTGGTGGTGGAGAAAATGAGAAGAAACCAGCAAGGGAGAAGGAGAACTGGCCAGAGGGCTAGGAAGAGAGCCCAGAAAAAGTGGTTGCCAGAGGCCAAGCAGGAAAAGTGTTTCATGAAAGCAAAGGGGGTCAACTACTCCAGTGCTGCCGACCTTGGGTTTGGGGAACTGGGAACTGAGAGATGACCACTGGATGTTGTAACATGGAGGGGATGAGGGGACCTTGGCGTGAGCAGATTCCACAGAATGGAGATGATGGAGCCTGGGAAGATGAGCTCAAGAGCAACTGGGATGAGAAGAAGAGGGCAGCCTTTGCCAAAGGGACATGGGGGTTGAAGGAGTTTTGTGGGGTCAAGGGAGATTTGTTCCTTTTAAATATATATATATATATATTTTAAAAATATTTTTGATACTGTGGCCCTTGTTTTTTTCTTCTATGGGATCTTTGCCTCCCTACTCAGTAGGTGTGACAAAAGTACCAGGTGTGACAAAAGTACCAGACAAAAGTACCAGTATCTAATCTATGGTTAGACAAGTAGGAAGTAGAGAAGTTCACTTCTAGAACCTTCCAACTACCTCCCTTTCCACCTCCTTGTGTGGGACTACATTGGGTATCTCCTTTGTAGTGGTTCAGAGCCCACCCTGCCCCGAATAGGTACAGCTCTCATCCTGCCACCACCTGAAAGATGTGTGCCTCGTGTTCCAGGAGGATCCTTTCTCACCCTCATTCCCCTGCTCTTCTTCTCAAGGCTGAGCCCTTCTCCCATTGAAGAAGAGCCTCCATCTGATGCTCAGCTAATTCCCCACAAGGGGTTACAAACGAATAGTCCAGGGTTGTGTTAACCTCCCTAAGGACAGACGAACTGGGAGAGTGAGTGCTCTTCACCTCCAGGAAGAAATCAGAATCTGCAGGCACCACAGCGCTTTGCTGAGGAAGAAGTTTAGCGCACAGTCACTGTCCCAGAGGAGATGCCCAGACTCTCTCAAGCAGTCTGAGTGCCTGTTACTCACAGCACCTGCCTCCTAGGACTTCAGTCTCATGCAACTTTATCACACGACATACCAGAGTGGCCAAGACCACAAAAGCAAGGGCCAAGCTGCCTGGGCTGGCATCCTCATTCTTCCTTTTTCTACTTGGCCACCTTAATTAACTTTTCTGTGCCTCGGTTTTCTCAGCTCGAAAATGAGGATACAACCAAACAATATTGTTGTGAGGCTTGGATGACTTCCCATTTTAGCGAGGACAACCTCTAGCCTGACCCGCAAGCAAGACCCGCACCCGCGCTCTCTCTTGTCCCATCTTTCTCCTCTGCAACTCTGTTTTCTTCACCTCCATGTCCCCAGGACTCAACAAAGGGCCTAACGTTGGAGATGCTCAAAGAAGGGCTCTTGGACAGCAAATACATGAGTGACAGAATTAAAGCTTAAAAGATTCGGAGGACTCACCACCAGAGAAACTTGTTGAAGAACTATCTTACAGATTGCTAGAAAATGCCCACCCCAAAAAATCAAATAAAGGGTCAGGAGAGCCCCCAGAGAGGGGGCAAGATGCCCCCCCAAGGAAACAAGAGAAGTCATTTAATTTCCCTAAAAGGGTGTGTGGTGTGGGGGACCCAGCCTGAAGCCTTGATTACTGCTTGTAAATAATGAAGGTTTGTTAAGAAGGTAATAAACCATCTCTAGAGACCTAACCAGAAAGTAATACATCCGAGGAGGATAATGAAATGCTTGATGGCGTTGTTGCTTGAGGCCTACACAGCACATTATGGGAACCCTGGGGAGACTGGCAGTAATGCGGGCACTTAGGCAATTCCATTTGCTCAGAGAAACCACATTCTCGGGGAGGAAGTGCCGGAGGCCAGAGGGGTCCCTGCCTGCCGGGCTCTGGCTGAGAAAGTCTTGGGCCCCTGGCTGGGGAGGGGCAGTTCACACAGACTGACTGGAGGCCTGGGTGGTTAGAACTCAGTTCTACAGGGATGTTTAGGAATATGTAAATTCCAATTGATTCAGTGAATTGTTCCCAAGGTCCTAATGCTGGGCCCCTCCTAGCAAGGCACTGGGAGAGTGATCAGAGACATGCTCATGAGCCACCCTTCCAGAAACCGCGGGGACCAGCCTGGCCCAGCTTCAAGGTTTGGAAGCTTTTCAGAGCTGCTTCCGGTGGAACTTTGCCACCACACACAACAGTCACGTTGCCGAGGGTTGGTTCAAGCAGGCCTCCTCCTCTCAGCAGACAGTACGCTCCTTCTAGCAGGGTCTGTGTCCTCTCTTTGCCAGTTCTCACTTCAAGGTTTCCAGAGGGCTGGGGTCTAATACGACCCTGTGGATTCAGTGGCCTGGGGCACACTCCCCACCCGGTTAGAGGTCACAGTTGGTCAGCAGCCTAATGGAGCCTACCTAATTCAGTGTTAAGTGCAAGGGTTAAGGAAGTAACACGTAGGTGGAGAAGGGAGGGGAGGGGCTGTGTCACCACCCAGAGGAAGGATTGTAAGAGAAAGATTTATCAAGGAGGTGGGACTTGAAATTGCACCCAAGGGAGTCAGTTCACAACATTCAACTTGTATGTGTAAGAAAATAAAGCAGGATGCAAAACTGTTAGTTACACAACAGTATCCCACTTCCACCTAATCACAAATAGCAAATTCCAGAAGCAAATATACCAAAATACAGTATTAATAACAGTGACCTCTGGGTTCTGGGAGCATGGATAAATTCTGGATTTCTTGTTTGTATATTTTTTATTTCTCAAATGTTCTAGAGTAAACATGCATTGCTCTTATAATCACAAAGCCATGTTACAGACTGATAAATCAAGTGGTAATTGAGGAAGTAGAGACAGGGAGTGCTCACCTGGCACAGGGAAAGGAAAAAGTGGAAATGAGAAGAGGGGGCCTTGAAAAAGTTTCTTTACTCTCCTCTGGGTTGGAAGATGGGGGGACTTATGCAGGACTGTAGATTATAGGGAAAGAGCTCCTACGAAAGAAGACACTGAAAAAAGAAGAGAAGCCAGAAGGAGCAAGACTCAGGCCTGGGTGAGAAAGGGAGTGTGGGGGGAGGGCTCAGGTCAATGGAAGACCAGGTATGCTCACAGCAAGTGTGACCTGTCTCTCTATGCACAGAGAGAGAAGTTCCTGAGTGGAAGCATCTGTCTGTCACGGTGTGCTGTCCATGCCAGGTGTTTATGGCATCCCAGAGTCCCCAAGGCAGAAAAGGAGGAAGCAGCCCA